AGCCCAGCAGGTCGAGGCTGTGGTGGCCGGGAGCGGCCACTGCACTCCAGTCTGGGTGAAGGAGTGAGACTCCAACTCAAAAGAACAAAAACAAAAACAAACAAACAAACAAAAAAGAACTAATTCAAGTTTCAAAGTGCCTATTTTTAAAAGATCCTTGTCAGGTGCAGTGGTTCACAACTGTAATCCCAGCACTTTGGGAGGCTGTATAAATGCCTTATACAGGTATACCAGTTTAAAAAAGAATCTTTTAAAGTATATTTTTACTGTATCTTTTCTATGTTTAGATATTGGTTTTCCAAAGTGTTGGGATTGCAGACATGAATTACTGCGCCTGGCCAGTATAAAAAATTTTAAAATAACATTCTCACTGCTTTATTTTATAAATGGAAATTGCTCTGGGTGAGTCAGTGAGTGAGTGGTGAGTGAATGTGAAGACCTAGTACATTTCTTTACACTACTGTAGACTTTATAAACACTGCACAGTTAGGCTATGTTAAATTTATTTTTAAAATTTTTATTTCTTCAATAAGCTAAACTTAGCTTACTATAACTTTCTTACTTTGTAAGCTTTTAAATTTCAACTTTTATTTTTTCCTTATTTCCTTTGTCTATAAACTTTTTCTTTTTCTTTTGAGTTGGAGTCTCACTCTGTCGCCCAGACTGGAGTGCAATAGCACACTGACAGTCACCGCAGCCTCAACCTACTGGGCTCAGGCAATCCTTCCACCTCAGCCTTCCAAGTAGCTGGAATTACAGGCATGAGCCACCTTGCCCAGTTAATTTTTTTGATTTATTGTGGAGATGAGGTCTCGCCAAGTTGGTCAGGCTGGTCTCAAACCCATGGGCTCAGGCAATTCTCTCACCTCAGCCTCCCAAAGTGCTGGGATTATAGGTGTGAAATTTTTCTATTTAAATTTCTTTTTTCAACTTTTACTTTCTTGTTAAAAACAAAGACATAGACGTACATGTTAGCCTAGGCCCACACAGGGTCATGATCATTAATATTACTGCCTTCAGCTCTACAATTTGTCTCACTAGAAGGTCTCCAGGGTAGTAACACCCAGGAAGCTGCCATCTCTATGAAAGCAATGCCTTCTCCTAGAATACCTTCTGAAGGATCTGCCTGAGAAGGACCTGCCTGTTTTACAATTAATTTTTTTAATTAGTTGGAGTACATTCTAAAATGACAATAAACAGTATAGTATAGTAAATATATAAACCAGTAACATAATTTGTTATCAAGTATTATGTACTATACATAATTGTATGGGCTATCCTTCCATACAACTGGCAACAAAACACATATTTGTTTAGACTAGCAACACTACAAACGTAATAAGTTGTGTTAACATTACAACATCACTAGGCAATAGGAATTTTTCAGGTCCATTACAATCTTATGGGACCACCTCTGTATATGTGGTTATGGGACACATTACCGTATCTTCTTTGAAGAAATATCTTTTCAGATCCTTGAACCATTTTTAAATTGGGTTGTATTTTTATTATTAAGTTGAAAGAGTTTGTTATACATTTTGGATACAAGTTTTTTTTTTTTCTAAAGAAAGTAAATTAGAAAGAGAGAGAGAAAGAGGTGATTCGCCGCCCCAAGGTAGGGGAGGGGGCCAAAGCTTAAGAAAACATGGCCTGGCAATAGCTCAGAGAGCACATGACACCGTAACTTAGCAAGGCAATGGCCAGGTACAAGCTTCTTATCAAATGTATGATTTGCAAACGATTTCTCCCATTTTATAGGTTATCTTTTCACTTTCTTGATGGTATCATTTATAGCACAAAATTATTTAATTTTGGCAAACACTAATTTTTAATATTGTCACTTGTGCTTTGATGTTGTATGGAATTAATTTTTGTGTATAGTATAAAGTAAGAGTCAAGATTCATTTGTTTCTATGGATATTCAAGTGACTCAACACCATTTATAGAAAAGATCACTTATATATATTAAATGTTCATATCAGTGTTGGTTTCTTCTTTAAAAGTAAGCTACAATTCCTCTGATCCTAATGATAATTTTAATGGTAAAATTAAAAAAAAATTATTTTAAAACAAGGTCTCACTCTGTAGCCCACGCTGGAGCACAGTGGTGTGATCATAGCTGAGGCCACCAACTCCTTGGCTCTTTTTTTGTTTTTTTGAGTCAAAGATTTACTCTGTCGCCCCAGGCTGGTGTGCAGTGGCACACTCAGGGTCACCGCAGCCTTGATCTGCTAGGCTAAGGCGATCCTTCTGCCTCAGCCTTCCAAGTAGCTGGAACTATAGGCATGCATCACCATGCGCAACTAATTTTTTAAAATTATTGTAGAAACGAGGTCTTGCCATGTTGTCCAAGCTGGTCTCGAACTGGTGAGCTCAGGCAATCCTCTTGCCTTGGCCTACAACGTGCTGAGATTACAGGTGTGACCCACCATGTCTGGCCTCTTTTTTTGTTTGTTTTTGTTAATGGTAAATTCTAAAATAAAACTTTCAATGGTAATTAAATTAGTTTTCCAGTTCTTGGCTTAATTTTAATGATTTATATTTTGCCAAGAAGATCTTCTAGGTCTTAACATTTATTGTCAAAGTTAACATATATATATATATTTTGAGTCAGAGTCTCACTTTGTTGCCCATTCTGGAGTGGTGGCACGCTCATGGTCACCACGGCCTTGACCTGCTGGACTCGGGTGATCCGTCCACCTCAGTCTTCCAAGTAGCTGGAACTATAGGCGTGTGCCACCATGCATGTGCCACCATTTATAGAAAAGATCATTTATATATATCAAATGTTCATATTTTTCCTGATTTATTGTAGAGGTGAGGTCTCGCCAAGTTGTCCAGGCTGTTCTGAACCACGGGACTCAGGCAATCCTTTCGCCTCTGCCTCCCAAAGTGCTGGGACTACAGGCATGAGCCACTGTGCCTGGCAATTTTTTAGAAAATTATTTTAATCTCCCTTTTAATTTATGAACACATCTTCTTTCTCTATCTTAATCTTCTATATTTTACCTTTCTCTTTTGTCTCTTGTTTTCTTTATTTAAAAGACTTGGTCTCAAAGTGTTGCCCAGGCTGGAGTACAGTGGTGTGCCACCATGCCCAGCTAATTAAAAACAATTTTTTGGCCGGGTGTGGTGGTTCACGCCTATAATCCCAGAACTTTGGGAGGCTGAGGTGAGAGCACTGACTGAGCCCACAGTTCGAGACCAGCCTGGGCAACTTGGTGAGACCTCATCTCTACAATAAATTTTAAAAAAATTAGCCGGGCATGGTGGCTCATGCCTATAGCTCCAGCTACTTGGAAGGCTGAGGTAGAAGGATCGCCTGAGCCCAGCAGGTCAAGGCTGTGGTGATCGGGAGCATGCTACTGCCTTCCAGCCTGGGTGACAGAGTGAGACACCGTACTCAAAAAAACAAAAACTTTTTTTTTGAGGTAAGAGTGTTGCTATGTTGCCCATGCTGATCTCAAACTCCTGGCCTCAAGTGATCTTCCTGCCTCAATTTCTAAGTAGCTGGCAATACAAGCATGAGGCACTATGCCCAGCTTCTTTTTTCTTATTTAAACACTCTTCAGCAGTTTTCTTATTTTATCATTTTTTTAAAGGGCAGTTTTTAAATTTGTTCTATTAATTTTTGTTTTCTATTTCATTAGCCTCACCTCTTACCTGTATTAATTCTATGTTCCTGTTTTTTTGTGCATATTATTTTCATGTTCATCCTGTATGTTTGGCATTAAATATTCTCCTTTACCTTGCTTTCTTCTTTGATCCAAGAGTTATCCAGAAGTATTTTTTGGTTGTTTTTTTTTGCATCAGGGTCTCACTGTTGCCCAGGCTGGAGTGCAGTGACATGTTCACAGCCTGCCATAGCCTCAAGCCCCTGGGCTCAGACGATACTTCTGCCTCAACCTCCCAATTAGCTGGGACTACAGGCACACACCATCACACCCAGCTAACTTTTTTTGTAGAGACATGGTCTTGCTATGTTGCCCAGGCTGATCTCAAACTCCTGGCTCAAGCAATTCTCCCACCTCAGCCTCCGAAAGTGCTAGGATTACAGGTGTGAGCCACCATGCTCCACCAAAAGTGTTTCTTAATTTCCAGGAATCTTAGAATGCTTTCATCCTTCTATTAGTTCTGATTTTATTAGATTAAGACCAGATGATGTGGTTAATAAACCTTCCATTTTTTTTCTATTAATTAATGTTTTCTTAGTGGCCAAGAGAATAACTAACTTTTATAAATGTTTGACAAACTGAAGAGAGAAATATATTCCTATATAAGGCGGTAATTGTTTAAATTGAGTTTACTGATTATATTAGTCAAATATTCTATGATCTTATAACATTTATTTTTTTTTAAAGACGGGCTCTTGATATGTTACCTAAGTTGGTTTCAAACTCCTGGGCTCAAGCACTTCTTTCACTTCAACCTTCCGAATAGTTGGAATTACAGGTGCATGCCAGTGCACTCAACTTAAATATTTTTGATCTTGGAAAATGTTGACTAAAACCTTCTGCTACACTTACATGTTTTTTTTTTGTAGTTGGACTCTCATTCTGTCACCCAGACTGGAGTGCAGTGGCCGCTCCCGGCCACCGCAGCCTTAACCTGCTGGGCTCCAGCGATCCTTCCGCCTCAGCCTTCCAAGTAGCTGGAACTACAGGTGCGCGCTTCCACACCCGGCTAATTTTTTTATTTATTGTAGAGATGAGGTCTCACCAAGTTGCCTAGGTGGGCTCAGGCAATTCACTCACCTCAGTCTCCCAAGGTGTGGGATTACAGGCTGAGCCACCAAGCCCGGCTATACTTACATTTTTATAATAGAAAAAAGCATATGTTACTTTTATAATCCGAAAAAAAGTATAAAAAAACAAAATAAGTCAGGTGCAGTGGTTCACGCCAGTACTCCCAGAACTTTGGGAGGCGGAGGTGAAAGGATTGCCTGAGCCCAGGGTTTGAGACCAGCCTGGGCAACTTGACGAGACCTCATCTTTACAATAAATTAAAAAAAAAAAAATTAGCTGGGTGTGGTGGAGCATGCCTGTGGCTTCAGTTACCTCGAAGACTAAGGTGGAAGGATCACCTAAGCCCCACATGTGGAGACTGCAGTGGCCACGAGCGTGCCACTGCACTCCAGCCTGGGTGACAGAGTGAGGCTCCTACTAAAAAATAAATAAATGGCAAGAGAAAAACATTAAAATTTTACCTTACCAAAATTCATAACTTAAAAAGAAATCCACGTTTTTTGGGTTTTTTTTTTTTTTTTATGTCAGGGTCTAAGTCTATCACCAAGGCTGGAGTGCAGTGGCACGATCACAGCTCACCGCAGCCTAGATATCCTGGGCCCAAGCAATCCTGCCTCAGCCTCCCGAGTAGCTGGGACTATAGGTGCCTGCCACCAGAGTCAGTAAATTTTTGTATATTTTTGTAGAGACGAGATCTGTCTATGTTGCCCAGGCTGGTCTTGAACCTGTGTTCAAACAATTCTCCTGCCTTGGACTCCCAAAGTGCTGAGATTACAGGTGTGTACCAATGCACATGGCCAAAAATCCATATTCAATTTTTTTTTTTGAGTCAGAGTCGTACTCTGTCACTCAGGCTGGAGTGCAGTGGCACATCCATGGCTACTGCAGCCTCGACCTATTGGCCTCAGGCAGTCTTTTCACCTCAGCTGAGCTGAGACTACAGAAACATACCACTATGCCCGGCTAGTTTTTTGATTTATCATAGAAACAAGGTCTTGCCATGTTACTCAGTTTGGTTTCAAACTGGTCTCAGACAATCCTTCATGTTTAAATTTTCTAATCACAAATGTGCCTACTACAGGGAAACTTTCTATAGAAAAACTTGCTTCCTTTGATTCTTTCTTTTGCTTTTGAATAAATGCTAGCTTTGATGCAGTTTAGTAAAAAAAAGTAGAATATATTTTAACTGAGATAACTACTTTGTCAAATAATTGTACTTACATTGGCTGGGAGATTGCTCTGTCGGGGTTTCTGTATCAAGATGTGGACTTGAAGAAGTATAAAAAACTCCCTTATTGTTATTCTCCCATCTCTGAGTTTCTAAGAAAAGAAAAAAAGTTTACATGACCTTTCAAGGTGATATTACTTTGACTATTAACCATCTCATTTGTTTCTATTAAATAGCGTAAAGTACTTTGTATGTAATTATGCAAATATTATTGTGTTTTTTTTTTTTTGAGTTGGAGTCTCACTCTGTCACCCAGACTGGAGTGCAGTGGCCACTCCTGGCCACTGCAACCTCAACCTGCTGGGCTCTGGCGATCCTTTCGCCTCAGCCTTCTGAGTAGCCGAAATTACAGGCATGCGCTACAATGCCCGGCTGACTTTTTAATTTTATTGTAGAGATGAGGTCTCGCCAAGTTGCCCAGGTGGGTCTCGAACCTGCGAGCTCAGGCAATCCACTCACCTCAGCCTCCCAAAGCGCGGGATTACAGGCTGAGCCACCGAGCCCGACTGTATTTATGCAAATATTATCCAGATATCTGCAGGTTATACATAAGCTAGATTTTTATCCAAGAATATTTCTTTTTTTCTTTTTTTAAAAGAGTTGGAGTCTCACTCTGTCGCCCAGACTGGACCGCAGTGTAATGCTCAAGTGCTGGGTTTACAGGTATGAGCCACTGCACCTGGCCTAGAATATTTCTTAAGGTTATTCAGTAACCTTAAAACAAACCAAAACATACATTATTTAATCATGATTTCTATTCCATTTAATTAATTGGATCTTTAACAATGAAAGGTCATCTTCTTTTTGTTTAAAATACTTTATAATTGAAAAAAAATTTCTTAAATAAGAAAATTGGTTGCATTAGAAATGAGAAAAACTTTTAACATACCTCCCTCAAACTTTCTTCACAAATAGTGTCTCTTAGAAACTCTGATTCCATTTGACTATTGCGGTTTGCTAGAAAAAATGCAAATTCTGATGATAACAAACCAAAACTAAATAGTAAACATAATTTTGTTTATCTTTCTGATCTATTCACAGTTCATGATCCAGAATCCACCCACTGGGAACTTTGTAGCAGGGCAAAGTATATTATAGTTTTAAGGCTCCATTCAATATTTCCCCACTAATTATAAACCCCTGAAGGAAATCTATTCCTCTGTAGTACATCACTTCTCAATTCATTAAAATAACCAAGAATTAAAAATAAACTTCAATAAAAAAAGAAAACCTAAATATTTTACTTATCAACTATTTATTTACTTATTTATTTGTAGGGATGGGGTCTATGTTACCCAGGCTGGTCTCAAACTCCCCCACCTCAAGCGATCCTCCTGTCTCATCCTCCTAAAGTGCTGGGATTATAGGTGTGAGCCACCTTGTCTGGCTTTATCAACTTTTCATAACCCCCAAAAGGCATATACAACATTCAAATATTTCCTGAGCTAAATGTACTTATTATTAGTCAAGTAAGGAGATGGCTGCTATTATTTAGCCTTCATGAAGATCTTACTGCTGAAGTCCAGAGAGGTCCCATCAGCCTTGATTGAATCCAAAGAGCTGCTGCAACTAGATGGGGTCTTGCTCAGGCTTTTTATCAACACGCTGTTAGCATTTTTATCTATATCCCCTTCAGTATGGTGATCAAAAATCTGAAATTATCAATGAAGGAACATCATCAGAATAAGGTTATGACACTGATACTTATGATGAATGCTTGTTGAATACTAACAGAAATACTACTTCTAACACAAAATTTATCTATAATTCATAAGAAATACCTTATTAAAGAATTAGAATAAGTAAGAGGCATTTAGGCCTTTAATTAGAGTTAAAAGTAATTTTATTAAAAATAATTTTATGCATTATATTGTGTAAGCAAATAACTAATAACTTCTCAGATGTATCCAAGTTATAGTCAAATTCTGTAAGATACCAAATGTTGACCTATCCAGTTAGTAAACTACTAGTCACCAACATTGGGGCTAACACAGTACAGAATACCAGACTAGAATACTGACTGTTCATAAGGGCCTTAGCTAGAGTTCAGAGAAGAAACTTACTTCTGAGCTCTTCTACTTCTCTCCCTAGATGACCAAGATTCCTCTAGCAGAAGTCAAATGAGTCATGTGGTCTTGTTTTTACCATTTTAACCATCTGACTTCACAGCTTTAAATGCCATCTCCATCCACCTTCTTATATGTTTTTTGGAGACAATGTGTTCTTTGTTTAACTGCTGGAATGTAAACTCCCTGAGATTTTTATCTGTGTATTCCCAGCACCTAAAACAGTGCTTAAGACCTAGCAGATAATAACTATTTAATGAACAAAATAATCTCATAAAATCTGTTTAGTTAGATTAAAAAAAACTTTTTTTTAATTGACTTGGCGTCTCACTTTGCCGCCCAGACTGGAGTGCAGTGGCCACTCCCGGCCACCGCAGCCTTGACCTGCTGGGCTCCCGCAATCCTTTCATCTCAGCCTTCCAAGTAGCTGGAACTACAGGCGCGCGCTACCACGCCCGGCTAATTTTGCCCGGGCTCAGGCAATCCACTCACCTTGGCCTCCCAAAGTGCTGGGATTACAGGCTAAGCCACCGAGCCCGGCCAGATTTAAAATTTTTAATTACTACTTTCTGAAAGCTTCATGACTAATCATTTCCACATGACATCATCTTATAGAGTCACTGAAATGATCTTCTAAGCTTATTACATTTCTTTTTTTTTTTTTTTTTTTTTGAGTTGGAGTCTCACTCTGTCACCCAGACTGGAGTACAGTGGCTGCTCCCGGTCACCGCAGCCTCGACCTGCTGGGCTCCAGTGATCCTTGCGCCTCAGCCTTCCGAGTAGCTGGAATTACAGGCGCGCGCTACCACGCCCAGCTAATTTTTTGATTTATTGTAGAGATGAGGTCTCACCTGCCCAGGTGGTTCTCAAACCTGCGGGCTCAGGCAATCCACTCACCTCAGCCTCCCAAAGGCGTGGGATTACAGGCTGAGCCACCGAGCCTGGCTGACACCTCTGATATTTTCTAACCTTGATTTCCCCACCTATAAAACTTAGTTTGAGTGAGAGGTTTTGTTCTCCCCAAGTTATCCAAATAGTGTTTCTCCTCTTTAAAAACAAAACAAAACAAAACCTGTCTTCTTTCAATAAATACAAAACCTCATTTCACTTTGAGATATTGGACTTAACCTAGGTATTCTCCAACCTATTAAATAAATGGACTCTTGATGGATCCTCCTTAGCCAAAAAAATTCAGTCCAGCTTTTCTTTATGCAGTTGGCATAATAGAAAGGCTTTTTACTTCCCAAAATACACAACACTGAAGATGACTTCAACTCTATATATCCTCCTTAGACATTCTCATATACAAAGCAACATTAACAGTAAAGATTACAGATTTGGAATTAACTACAGAATTTCAACAGTGGCTAATTTTTATATAATTTTCCATTTCATTTCTTTGTAACTATATGCCACTTTAAATTGTTTTAAAGTCCAGCTGTTAGTTGTTAGTCAATTAATTCCTGAACATTCTATGCAGAAATATTTCTCCAGCCCTCAAAGTGGAGATAATTAATTTCTGTTTATCCAAGATTAAAATTAAAATTCAAGACCACCCACAATTAAAAAAATAAACTAAAACTCAAGAGCATTCCTTGGTTCCAGACAAAGCTCACCTCCCGGTCTTGTACGGCATCACTAAACTTAATCTCATTTTTTCTGATTTTTTTCTCATTCTGAATATCATCATCTTCTTCTTGTACCCAGGTTCGTTTCTGATTGTTGCAAGTTTCTTCCATTTTTTTTTCACGTGGTGAAATCTTTTCTTGGTATGTCTCAATCAAAGCCTTTTCTTCAGTTTCTATGCTAATAGAGTCTGCAGAATTGACCTCATCAGGATATATAGGAAGATTTTCCTCATTTATATATTGAGACGGACTTAGGTTCAGTTTAGCCACAACAGATCCAATGCCTGAATCCTTGCTAGAGACCGGCTGAGTTTCTAAGTGATTTAGATCAGTTGTGTCTGCTGGAATCTGTTCCAGGTTATCAATACCAGTGACACTACAATTTTTCTTGTTTGGCAATCTGGGCAAAAAGATTCCCAAAGAACGTCTCCTCACTTTAGCAACTGTCTTCAATGGGACAGAGGTGGTTTCAGCTCCACTATGAGACTTAATATTTTCTTCATCTCTATTATCTTTAGCATCACTGGAGACTGTGCTAATGTTATGTATTTCAGTAGCTTTCCCTATACTCATATCATTGTGTGCCTTATTTCCAAATTCAAGTAATTGTTCTGGAGGAGGTGGTATAGGAACAGTTTGAAAATCTAAAAACTCTTCAGTTTTTCCATTCAAGTTATTCAGATTTGGTCTGACACTACTAAGACATGGAGCCCTTGATGCAATTATAGGATCTGATGCTTCTCTAACATCGGCATGTGTTTCAGTAACTTGCTTAGTCAAGTCTGAGCTATGGTGGAAGTCTATAGCTGTATTACTTTTAGCTGTTTTAGTATTTTCCTTCAGTTCTTTTTTATAGACTATTGTAAACTGCTTCTCATTATTGAGCATTTTAGACTTGTTTTCACATGTGGGTGCAGAGGAATTTCCTATAATATTGAAAATCTCATTTACAGCTGTAGACAGTATTACTTCATCTGTATTGACATTATTCTGTCCTATTTTAGGTAATGGAGGTTGCTGGGTTAAAAGATGAGGCTGAGAAGTAACACAAATATCGTCAACAAAGGGTTTCATTTGATCCCTTGGAAGCTTAAATGACACTCGCTTTGAATTAAGGTTAGTCATCTCCACCAAGTCTTGACTATATACTAAAGTTTGATTAGCTAATAGATTTCGGGACTCCTTAATCAGATCTTGATCTTTGAATGGTGTCATAACACAGTCTAACTGTCCTTTTGTACTGGTTTGAATAACTTCTTTATTCTCTAACAAAGGACAAGGAGCAGAGAGAGGCAGTCCCTCAGATTTCAGATAATATTCACTGGTTAAATCATTTGCATTAGCAAGATCATTCTGCACTGGGCAATTATTAGCATTCTCCTTATCTTTATTACATAGGGACATGACACTACTTTCCAAATTATCAGCATAGGGAATATTTGGTAAACAGGAATAATTAACACTGGATCCACAAATAGTAGTTGCATGACAGTTTGTAAAATTCATATTTTTTCTAACTGTACTATTTAAGTGACAGCTTTCAATTTTAGCTTTTTCCAATGTACAGGCCTGGCCTACAACTTTCCCCGTGATGACTTCATCCATAGCAGTGCTATGGAATTTGGTGATTTCCATTTCACCTTGATCCTCAGACAATGTATTGACAGGAACATGCTTTTGCTCAGTGTGAAGAACAATTTTGTTTTCTACAGTCAGTGCTTGTTTTTTAGTGGTTTCCTGAACACAGCTATCATCCTTAGAAAAAGAAACACTAAAGGTTTTTTCTTTTGCTATACCAAGTTTAGGGTACTCTTGAAGTACTTTCTCTGTGGCTTGACAATCAATGAAAACAGTATAGGACTTGGTGACTTCCAGTTCATCGGGATTATCTACAAACACCACAGTTTTGTCCATAGGCCTCTTAGTAAATTCATCTGGCGAGATGGTTTTACATTCAAAGTCAGTTGTGTGGCTTCTAGTGATCTCCATGTCATCCTGCCCACATGAATACAAAATAGTTTTAGAAGTTCCTGCCAAAGGCACCAGATGGAAATCTCTATCTCCTGGGGCACTTTTGTCATTTATTTCCACCACACAATTCTGGGTAATATTCATATCATTTTCAAAATTTTCTGAAGGTGCCAGGCTTTTTCTTCTCTGTCTTTTCCCTGATAGAGGTTTATCCAGAAAACCAGGATTTTGTAGATCTTGGATATTTTCCCAAGTGGTTGATTTAGATACTCCCATGTTATCATCAGCTATAAATGCTACAGCTTTCGCTCTAGGATCACTGTTAGGCCATTCCTCCAGAAGGGTTAGCTGGCTGTCTTTTGTTACTGGATGTTCACTTTCATCATTTTTTGGAAAGAAAACACTCTCCTCAGTAGAAGTAGATATTACTTTTGGTTTTCCTAGGCTTTTCATTTGTGATAGTTCAAAGTTAGTTCTGTCTGACAGTACAGTTTCCTCCCTTGCCTGATAGTCAATGAAAACAGTGTGGGACTTTGTCATTTCTAGTTCATCATGGTTATCTACAAACATTAAAGTTTTGTCCATAGGCCTAGTAGTTATTTCATCTGGTGAGACAGTTTTACATTCTAAGGCAGTTGTGTGACTTCTAGTGATCTCCATATCATCCTGCCCACATGCATATAAAACAGTTTTAGAAATTTCTGCCAAAGGCACCAAATGGGAATCAGGTTTTTCTAGTAAAGGCCTATGGTTTATTTCCACTGTATAACTCTTGGTGATATCCATATCATTCTTATCACCCTCTGAAAATACAATAGTCTTATCAGGTTTTAGTCCGCCAACACTTTTCCTTCCACAAATTTTGCTATTTTGCTTTTCCTTCAGAAAGTCAGGTTTTTGCACATTTTTATCCTCTAACATGTCCATGATGTAATTAGATCTAAATATTCCAGTTTTTTCTATAGGATGTTTATCACGGTTTTCAGTTTTCACAGCTATCTGTCTGCTTACTGTTGTTAGCTGGCTGGTACTATGTTCTGAATTAGTTTTACCAAATTCTTGTAGAGCAGAAGGATCAAATCCTATCATAACAGTATGGCTCTTAGTTAGATCCATATTTTGTTCTTCCTCTGAACACATAATCATCTTGTGATGAGAACAGTCAGGTGTGGGATCACTTAAACATTTCTTCAGTGGCTCAGGCAGTTTAGAATTCTGGTCTAATATGGATTTCACTAAATTACTGTTAGCAGTAGTATTATGGCTTTGCATGGACTGCTCACATGAAACTGTATTTCTATTATTTCCCAGTGCTAGTTTATCAAGAGCTCCACCAATGTAGACTCTATTATGACTTGTTGCTATAACCTGATTACAATCAGCTGACAGAGAAGCTTTATCAAGATAGGGTGAAATCTTTAAAACCTGATATTTTTCTTTGCTCTGAGGGTCAGTTAGGATGTTTTTAGACATGTCTGGTTGTTGAGAGAGCTCAATATGACAACAGGCCATTTTTTCCCATTTATCTGAAGGGCTTTTGCTCTGAGAGTGAGATTTACTGGTATTCTCAGGTGCTAGATTATGAGATGAAAAAGGAACTTGATTTCTTAAGTTCCTTTCAGTCAAATGCATATCCTCACCTAAGAATTCAGTCTTTTTGTCAGTCAATGAAATAGATACAGGATTTGACAGGTTCTTTTGTAATCTTTCCTCAGATACACAAGGAACTGAGCTACAACTTATATTCATTTTCTCATCTTGTGACATGTTTATGCAATTTTGGAGCATCATTTCTTTTTCAGATATTGGAGTAACTGCTATCTGTACATTTGTCTGATCTTGTTTAAAAATCTGATTATCTATTGCAACTGTATGACTCTTGGTAATGTCCATGCTATCCTCTCCTGAATAAATAGTTTTCTCTATAAGATGAGAGACAGCATCTGGATTGGGATGCATTTTAGAATAATTACTCTCATGATTTAGGAAATTTTTTTCCTCTCTCATACTTGAGAGACACTTGGTCAGTTCCATGGCACCATTACAACTAGAATAGAAAACTGTGTTATAACCTTGAATAGCTGGACTAGAACACATAGATTCTGGGGTCATCGCCAATATTCTGGTATCTTGACTAGAAATCTGTGAGATTGTTTGAGTTTCTGCCCCTAGAGCATGGCTTCTGGTAGTATATATTTTGTTTTCAGGGTTTAAATGCTCTTGAAAAGTAGCATTTGGTTTATTCTTAAAGATAGTTTTCTTTCCTGAAGCTTTAGGTCCATAATCTGTTGTAACATTCATCATGACATTATGAGTTTGGTTTTCTAATTCGGATAAATTATCTGCTGGTGGTAAAATCTGTATAGTGTGGTTAACTGTCAAATCCATAAAGTCATTCCCATAAATTGTAATATCATCACCTTTAAATTTCTCATTGGATGTGGGAACCAATGTCTGAATATCGGCTGTATGACACTGAGTGAAATTCATCCCATCATCTTGTTCTCTAAAGATTCTAGTCATATTACTGTTGTTCTCATCTATGTTAAGAGATACATGCATTTTATGTGTGGAAGAGGAACTATTTGACTCTTTGGAATAAACAGGTATTTCAGAATTTTCTTTATCAGGTCCTAAAGAAAAAGCATTATGTTTTCCTATTTTTAATCTTTTTATGAAGTCATTGAAATTTATTTTCTTTTCTGAAGACATGTTTTCAACCATGGAAAAATTCGATTCTTTTTTCATCCTTGAATCTTCAGTGTGAAGCTTTAAGTTAGCTAGAAATGCTGTGGTATCTATCTTGGTAGACTTTTCACTTTTGGTACTATCTAAAAGGTCTTTGGTAATCATTACAGTGTGACTTGCTGTCAGGTCCATCTGATTTTCATCTGAAAAGATGACTGTCTGGTCATTTGCATGTTTCTTTTCATGGTTATGTTCTATAATTGAAAACTGTAATAAAAGCGAAAAATAAGAGATCAGAACAAATACAAACTTTTAAAAAGGTATTTTACAACATGTACTACATAAACAATTGTCAGTGATGGTTTCATGACACACTAGTTTGTTTCAATCAATGGTGTAGTATGTTATACATAATCTGTTATTAAAATTTCTCTAAACTCTGTGAATAATTCACTTTTTAGTGTTTGGAGCAAATTAAAATTGAAGGACAAATTTAAGGTTAATTATGAACACACTAGAATGAATAAAAAATGAAAAACACTGACAATACAAAATGTAACCATAATAAAAATTCTAATTACTATATTGGATACCAGGTTTAAAAAGTCTTGGAAAGGGATATGTACATGATGGCTAATGCACAAGGGGGACCCAAAAAAACTTGGAATTTATTTATTAAAAAAAGTGTGTTTTTTTGTTTTGTTTTGTTTTTGAGTTGGAGTCTCACTCTGTCACCTAGACTGGAGTGCAGTGGCCACTCCCGGCCACCGCAGCCTCGACTTGCTGGGCTCCAGCGATCCTTTCGCCTCAGCCTTCCAAGTAGCCGGAATTACAAGCATGCACTACCACGCCCGGCTGATTTTTTGATTTATTGTAGAGATGAGGTCTCGCTGCCCAGGCAGGTCTCGAACCTGCGGGTTCACGCAATCCACTCACCTCAGCCTCCCAAAGGCGTAGGATTACAGGCTGAGCCACTGAGCCCAGCTAAAAAGTGTGTTCTTATATGTTTAAACTTCAGTCACTTTCAAAATACTCTCTATTTGATGCAATACACCTATTGAGACACTTTTTTCCACTGCTCTAAGGAGTTTTAAACTTGTCAATTTTGATGTCTTTTAGTGCTTCTGCTGTTTTTTGTTTCACCTCTTCCACATTGGCAAAACATTTTCCTTTGAGGACTTTTTCCATTCAAGGAAACAAAAAAAGTTGCTCAGAGTGAATAGGGAGGGTGGGGCACAGTCACGCAGGTTTTGGTCAAAAACTGTTGAACACTTAGTGCAGTATGGGCAAGTGTACTCGTAAGTCACCCATCATGAAATGGACAAATGTGTTGAAAGAACCTCCAAAACAAAAATTTAGTGAAACACAGCCTCTCATTTTTTTTTTTGAGTTGGAGTCTTACTCTGTCACCCAGGCTGGAGTGCAGTGGAATGCTCATGGCCACCACAGCTTCAGCCTGCTGGGCTCAGGGTGATCCTTCTGCCTCAGTCTTCTAAGTAGCAGGAACTATAGGCATGAGCCACCAAACCTGCTAATTTTTTGATTTATTATAGAGATGAGGTCTTGCCGAGTTGCCCAGGCTGGTCTCAAGCTTCTGGGCTCAGATAGTCCTTTCCCCTTCACCTCCCAAAATGCTGGGATTACAGGCGTGAGTCAACTTACCCGATGGAAATGCAGCCTCTCTTAACAATGCTAGCTGGTACACTGATGCCTATGGGTTCTTAGAACACTTACCTAGAGGAGAAAGCCTGTAATACAAGGGGCCCACCATCCAAAAGACAATTCTGGGGATTGTTGGGTCGCCCTTCGTCTATTACACTCTGTGTTCTAATTTTTTTGAGAACATGATTTAACTCCCTGCTCCTGAAAGTATGGTCTGTGGACCCGTGTACCAGTATCATTCACAAAAGTTAGAAATAAAGACTCTCAGTGTCTACCCCGTTTCTACTGAATAAGAATCAATACTGTATTTTAACAAATCCTGAGATGATTTGTATGCTCTTTAAAGTTTGGGGAGTCCGGTATATTTCCCTGCTATTTAAACTGGTAGTTATTTATCCTTAGTTAACCAGAAAATTGGAAGTTTTTCCAGTCTATACTAATCTATTTTGTTAAATCATCCCTAAATCATGCCATTACAATTCAGTTGAGTTTTTAAAGTTTTAACTGTCGGGAGATTAAAATATGAAGGCTTTTGAATAAACTCATACCTCTTTCTGTTGCATCTGGGTATGAATGGGAGCACAAAGCAATGTGTTCATCCCTATTGAGAAAAAAGAAAAAAACTACAGTCAAAATATATCACTAAGAGTCTGATTTTCCTTTTCTTACGTTCTTCATCAGTTACAAGTATTTACCAATTACTCAGCTCTTTGTAAAAATTTACATATAAATTTCTTTTTTAATTGATATATAATTGTGCATATTTTGGGGGATACATGTGATATTTTTATATCTGTATGTAATGGATAAAGATCAAATCAGAGTAATTGGGACATTCGTCATCTCAAATATTTATCTTTTGTGTTGATGAGGATGAATTAAATTTAGTTTTTTTCTCTAATCCAAAATGACTGGTAGGACTGTATTCCATTTCATAAGACTTTTAATTATCCTATTTTAGTGACAGAGAGATCAATGATTGTTGTAGCCTCTATGTGATTGCAATATATATATATATATATATATTTTTTTTTTGAGTTAGAGTCTCACTGTCACCCAGACTGGAGTGCAGTGGCCGCTCCCCGCCACCGCAGCCTCGACCTGCTGGGTTCTGGCAATCCTTTCGCCTCAGCCTTCCAAGCAGCTGGAACTATAGGCGCACACTACCACGCCTGGCTAATTTTTTTTTTGGATTTATTGTGGAGATGAGGTCTTGCCTGCCCAGGTGGGTCTCGAACCTGCGGGCTCAGGCAATCCACTCACCTCAGCCTCCCAAAGGCGCGGGATTACAGGCTGAACCACCGAGCCTGGCTTGATTGCAATATTTTTATACAGTAGTGATAATTTTAAACGTGGAAAGTTTGGGCTCATTATCTTTTACTTCTCTATTTTTATTTTCTGAATAGTAGACAGTACATGAGGAAGAGTACCAAGTGATGAGACTGAAAAGTTAAGGTAAGATTTTGAAGAATATTTTATTCTATGTTGAGGAATCTAAATGTTCCCCTGATGAGACATATGTACTTTATTAAAATAATCTCATTGTAAAATAGAATGTATTTTAGAAAAATAATGAGAAGAAAGTAGACCCAAGAGATGAACCAATGAGAAAGCTACTACAATAGTTCCGTTTAACATGATAAGAAATCATATCGGGGTAAGAGAGCAATGGAAATGGAAAAAAGAGATTAGACTCAAGATATTTTACAATTGAAATACAAAGGTTTAGGTAATAAACTGGACTCTGGAAATAAGGAAGAAATTGAAGATGCTATATTAAAACAGGAAATACATTTCAAAATACTTAAGTTTAAAGGCAAATCTTTTTTTTTTTTTTTGAGTTGGAGTCTCACTCTGTCGCTCAGACTGGAGAGCAGTGGCACACTCCCGGCCACCATAGCCCCGACCTGCTGGGCTCCGGCAACCCTTCCACCTAAGCCTTCCAAGTAGCTGAAACCACAGGCATGTGCTACCACGCCCGGCTAATTTTTTTGATTTATTGTAGAGATGAGGTCTCGCCTGCCCAGGCGGGTCTTGAACCCGCGGGCTCAGGCAATCCACTCATCTCAGCCTCCCAAAGGCATGGGATTACAGGCTGAGCCACCGAGCCCAGCTCAAAAGTGTCTTTAAAAAAAAGATTCATCTAATACTGCTGAAGAAATTACAAGGCAGGCCAGAGCAGTGGCTCATGACTGTAATCCCAGCACTTTGGGAGGTTGAGGCAAGAGGATTACTTGAGCCCAGGAATACAAGACCAGCCTGAGCAACATAGCAAGACTTTGTTTCTATAAAAAATTTTTAAAAATAAGCTGGGTGTGATGATGCATACCTCTAGTCCCAACTACTCGAGAGGCTAAGGCAGAAGGAGCATCTGAGCCCAAGAAAGTCAAGGTGCAATGAGCCATGATTGTGCCACTGCACTCCAGCCTGGGCAACACAGTGAGACCCCTACTCAAGAAAAAGAAAAAGAAAAAGAAATTGCAAAGATGCTAAATGATACTTTTCAGATTGTATTTCATGGTTTGCTAATTTCAATAATACTATAAAAATGTTCTTAATACATATTGTTTGCTTATTTAAAAAATAATGACTTGTAATTTGTTTTCTAGAAACTTAGCCTTAAAAAAAGGAAATAGGCTGGGTGTGGTGGCTCAAGCCTGTAAACCCAGCACTTTGGAAGGTCAAGGTGAGAGGATTGCCTGAGCCCATGGGTTCAAGACTAGCCTGGGTAACTTGGTGAGACCTTGTCTCTACAATAAATAAAAAAATTAGCCGGGTGTGGTAGCAAGCACCTACGGCTCCAGCTATTTGGAAGGCTGAGGCAGAAGGATCCCCTGAGCTCAGCAGGTCGATGCTGGGGTAGTGGTGTGCATGCCACTGCACTCCAGCCTGGACGATGGAGTGAAACTCCAACACACACACACACAAAAATGTTGAACGAATTGGGCTATGAAGTTTTGCCTCATCTGCCATATTCACCTGACCTCTTGCCAACTGATTACCACTTGTTCAAGCATCTCAACAACTTTTTGCAGAGACAACGCTTCCACAACCAGCAGGATGTAGAAAATACTTTCCAAGAATTCGTCAAATCCCAAAACATGAATTTTTATGCTACGTGAATAAACAAACTTATTTCTCATTGGCAAAAATGTGTTGATTATAATGCTTCCTATTTTGATTAATAAAGATGTATTTGAGCCTAGTTACAATGAATTAAAATTAAGTATGAAACCACAATTACTTTTGCACCAACCTAATAAAAAGTTAGCCAGGCAGCATGGTACCCGCCTATAGTCCTAGCTACTCAGGAGGCTGAGGCAGGAGGATCACCGAAGGCTAGGAGTTCGAGGCTGCAGTGAACTATGATGGTACCACTGTACTCCAGCCTAGGTGACAGAGCGAGACTGTCTCAAAAAAATAAAATAAAATTTTGAATTCCATTGCTGAATTGCTTTCTACAATTTATATTCCACTTAGCAATTAGTGAATCTTCCTATACCCTTAACTGACTAGATTAAAAATGTCTTGGGGCAACTCCTTCGAGTCCCCTCCATGTGGGAGCTTTTCTGTCCTCTCAATAAATTCTGCTTTCCAAAAAAAAAATCTCAATATCGTCTAAATTTATACTTCTCTTATGCAGAATAAGGAAATTATCTTTTCATCTGTTAAACAGTCACAGTATTTACTTTTCTTTTTTTCTTTGAGTCAGAGTCTCACTCTGTTACCCAGGCTGGAGTGTGGCATGCTCATGGTCACAGCAGCCTTGACCTGCTGGACTTAGGCAATACTTCTGCCTCAGTCTTTCAAGTAGCTGGAACTATAGGTGCACGCCACCATGTCAGGTTAATTAATTAATTTATTTATTGTAGTCAAGGTCTCACCAAGTTTCCCAGTCTGGTCTCAAACCCTTGGGCTCTGGCAATCTTCTTACTTCCACCTCCCAAAGTGCTGAGATTACCAGTGTGAGCCATTGCGCCCATTCGTATTTATTTTTCTATGACATTAATATTATAATAAGAAAGACCAATTTAATAAAAAATATTAAGACTTGCTATTGATTATTTTAGACTGGCTGATGAATTTAAGGATTTATATATGAATATTGAGTGTTTCATTATATTAAAAGCATAAACTGTACAATGCTCATATTTACCAGATATAGTAGTATATAAAATTCTGCAAATAACTTGTTTTCTGGATTAATTCTAAGTATTCCACAAAACAGATACAAAAATAAAAGAATATTAGTTTAAAACTTAAAAAATATAATTTGAACATTTCCCTTACTTACTGTATAAAGAGAATATTTTCTCCTGCCTCTGTTTCTAAAAATGAAATAAAAATTAGATTTATTTAAGGATACACTGATAACGTACTAAAAAATTATATAAGGACATTAACAACTTTTCAGTAATTACTAACTACCTACTCTATTCTCCACCCCCATAACTCAAGGTATGCTTTTTAAGAAATAAGAGAGACAAGAAGTTATATTTCTTTCTACATTTTCCCCCACTAATCACTAAAGAAATGCAAAGTCAATAAGTTATGCCAATTAGATAGCCACAGAAAAATGTTAAAGAAAACAGATACAGCAGGAATTACAGCAATTTACCTGCCATTTCTGACTTTCTCACTATTTTCATATGAGACTCTGTCTGGAATACCCTAGAAGACAAAATAAAAATTAATGAAAATCTGCAATTTGTAACTAGATCTTTTGGTGATAATTTACAGTTTGTGTTGAGATAGGTAAAGGTGATTCTTAGACTTTAGCTTCCTCTTTGCTATACTATATGCTTCTAACATTTCAAATACCAAAATTAGTTTACCACATAAAATGTTACGGTTTTTAATAAGCTCTGACCTAATTGTTATTTTATCTCTCTCAATAACTTAAAATACTTAACTCAACAAGCATTTATTAGATACTCACTATATACCTGGTACTATTCTAGAGTCTGGGATACAAACACATGATCCTCAACCTCAAAGAACTTCCACTACAAGCAGAGAGCTGGATCAATGATTATAAACAGTATTTCAATGACTTTTGTTATTAATAGCTCAGTAGCATGAATTCCAGAGGAAGGAATTCCCTTTCATTGGAATGATTAAGAATAAGCCTCGCCACTGCACTCCAGTCTGGGCGACAGAGTGAGACTCCAACTCAAAAAAAAAAAGAATAAGTCTCATGGAGCATTTGATGTCTATATTATACAGTGTGACCAACTCATTCTAATCCTGCTAATATTAAGTATCATTCACTAGATAGAAGCTATGCTCAATTAGAAGTAGCTTAGTAAGCCGGGCTCGGTGGCTCAGCCTGTAATCCAGCGCTTTGGGAGGCTGAGGTGAGTGGATTGC